TAGTAATAATAGTAGTAGTAGTAATAGTAGTAGTAGTAATAGTAGTAGTAGTAATAGTAGTAGTAGTAGTAGTAGTAGTAATAATAATAATAATAATAATAATAATAATAATAATAATAATAATAATCCACTAATATTATTATTATTGGAATATTATATCGCCCGACGAAGGGAACCTTCTGAACTGCGCCGAGAGCACGAAGTGGATACTGGACCAGAGGAAGGACTCCCTCGGTCAGAAGATCGCCGACAGGAGGAGTCTCCGGTGCGCTGCGCCGTTCGAGGGCAGGCCGCTTGTCCAAGTCGTGGAAATAATCGAGGTCAGCCACAAATGTTTCATATTGTTCATTTATTCTTTCGACTTGGCTTGAGAAAACGGCTTGTGTAACCGGGCGATTCGCTGTTCCAGACGCTCGCGGCGGAGTGCAAGAGAACGGTGTGCGAGTGCGAGCTGGTGTACGTCGTCGACGAAGGCAGGAAGCACATCCACACGCGACTGATGGCTTTCGTTTCGGTGAACTGCAGCAATCGCGGGCTGACCGAGATGCCCGATTTCTTGCCGGTGAACACGACTACCCTTCGTTTGATTGGAAACAAGGTTCGCGCGGGACAAATCTGATTCGGTGTCAGAAGTCTGCGCGACTTCGAACAATACGGTGTCCCAAAAATGTCTCGCAATCGGGAATCAGCGGATTCCTGAGATCGTTCGAAGTAACTTTTTCCTTTACGCGAACGCAATACGCGGCTTTGTTTACGAGTTATTAACGAAAAACGCTCATTGGCTCGGCCGTTACGCGCCAGCTGATCTCCCCTCGCCTTGGTCACTCGTAAACAAAGCCGCGGATTGCATTTTCGTCGAGGCAAAAAGTTACTTCAAACGACCTCTGGAATCCCCTATTCCCGGACTGCGAGACATTTTTGGGACTGATCAAGACTTTTTTACACAGATACACGATCTGAGGCCGCTCACGACCAATCCCGTTTACAAAGGAGTAATAGATCTGTATCTGGACGACAATCAAGTTGAGAGCATCGTTCAGTTGGAGGGATCGCTTTGGATAGATCGTTTCCGGTTACTCAGTCTTCGCGGCAACAGGCTGACCGATGTTCGTAATCCTCTCCGTTTCGTTTTACTAAAACAGAATAGTTAATCTAGAGTTTTATCTCGAAGTATCTCATGCAACTTCTAACACGGCCTAACTCAGACGCGACCCAGATCCAACGTAGATCTGTATTTATACCTCGTCGTTGCGGTAGAATCGTCGGCAAACATTGTTCTACCGAAGTAGAGGATTTACGATGAGAGTACATTAGCATGGTAACTAAAGCTTAAGCTGGCGAAGCGGTGATCGTTGCTGCTACTGTTTCAGCTGCCTACGTACGCTCTAGCAAACGCGTTGCAACAGAACAGAAACGCCGTGTGCCTGAATCTTGGAAATAATCCGTGGCGCTGCGATTGCCATTTCACGCCCGGTTTTCAGGTAATGTACCGAACAATTTCCTAACTCGATTATCGAATATATTAGGGGGACCGAAAAGTAATGTCGTTTCTGCGCAAATTTATCTGTTTGAATTTAATGTAAACCAACGACATAACTTTCCGGCCCCCCTAATATTTACTCGACGGATAATATAAATAAAGCCGATCTACTTCCAGGATCTATTGGTCAAATACATGAACCTTGTGAAGGATATCAACGACGTTAGATGCTCGTCGTTGGACGAAGACGACAATCGTGGTAAAATTGTAAGCAAACGGTTCGTGTTGCATCTGCGCGCGGCTTGAACAATGTTGACGTTCTATTTTGTTGAAGATACGGGACTTGACGCGCACGGAGATCTGTTTACCACCGGATGGAGACCCCCTGATACGTCCCCTGGACGTTCTGAATATTATATTGGCGCTCCTGATACTGCTTATCATTGGAAAAGTGCTCTACGACTACTGGTCCTTCAGGAAGACCGGGAAACTGCCTTGGATCGTCACGAAGATACCGTAGGAAAGCTGCCGTTTTTGATCGAATACAAGTAGTAGAGAATGGATTGTTACCTTCAACGTTGATCTTCGATCTTGATCTTCACAATAGAGATGGTACACTTCGTTAGCGGCCTCCTTTTTCGCGACGCATTCCCTTACACCGCGGCCTACGTCGGGAGACCGAAGTAAGAACTTCGATAAAGAGGTTAGTCCGGTGACAATCGACAAATACCTTTGGCAGTGTAACCCAACGCGGAACAGGTCGCAATATGAGTGACGCCTCTAAAGGTTTTCTGTTTCTCCACCGAGTAGATCGGTACGTGTTGTTTCTTGTCGAGACAGAGCTGGTAAAGTCGTCTCTGAGCCGTGGTTCTTGGGCTCTCCACCCGAAGATTCATGATCTCTCGCATTCTACACGATCAACGGTTCGATTACTGACAGAAATCATTGCTTCACGGCTCGCGGAACATACTCCTCCTCCGTGAAGTACGCGAGCATGCCCGGTCTCTCGTCGTCCATCTGCCGGTTCGCGATCATTTCTAGTATCTTTGTGGCCAGGCTGTTTTTCGCGGACTCCTCGCAATCGCTTCGAACCGATGCTGTTACAGTAAAGCGTGGATTTTTGCCATGAACGACAATTTGAAAGATACAAAATTCGAACATTTACTGGTATATCCGCAGAGGCTGCCGCGCATCACGAAGGACTTGTCACGCATAGGTCCATCAATCTCGTACACGACCGTGGTCTTGCAGCGTTTCGCGTAATCCTCGAGGATTGATAACGGAGTTCGTTGACTCGCGTTCATCGACGAGCCTTCGTCACCTCTGTCCTGAGAACAATTCATAATAATTGCCCGATAGCGTACACGAGAATTCGGTCTTCGTCTCGAGCACAATTCACCTTAAACGAGTTGGTCGCGCTGTCGTCGTTAACTTCGACCATTTCTTGGCTGGCGATAGTTTGTTCTGAATCGATCTGGACCGTGGAATCGCCAATGTCCACGCTCTTGTCTTGTTGATGAAGGATAACGCAGGTCTTATCGTGCTCTAAAAACGTTTCGAATCGGTTGACGATCAAATAAAGCGGTCTCGATAAGAAATTAGGTACCATTCGCACTGCTGCTGTCTTGCCTGTGCTCTTTGCTTTTAGAAGGCTGCTTGTTCTGAGCGACTTCGTCTTTGCAAACGGCTAAAGATTACGATAACAATCTTATCATTGGACATAAACGAATCTTAAGTAGCTAAACCGTTCGAAAATTTGCAACTGCGTGTCCCGAAATTTTCGACGGTAACATATTTAACGCGAAACATTTGTTAACATTACCCGCTCTTGATCTCCTCATGGTGTCATCCACGGCTTTCTCCCATCCCTCTAGACTCGTCACCTCCTTCATCCTTTGTTCAGCATCTGCGAGATCGTGATTTCAAAGTCATCGTAAAGAGCAACAAATGTGATTGATAAATGCAAGTCAACAAACGTGTATTGCTCTTAGGGAGATCAGACTTATTGGCGGCCGAGCAGCGCGTCTCCGTCGGAGAATGTCTCTCCGTGAAGGATTCGTTCGACTGAACTTCAGCTTTCCCACCTCTCGAAACAGAATTCCCACTTTGATTGTTCGAATCAATGTCTGCGTCGTAGATGGTGGCTTCGGAGTACTGTACGACGTTTTTGCTATCGCTCTCTGTGTTCTTTAATGAGCCGTCTTTTTAATCATTAGCGAAGTCAACGTACGTCTGGGATCCGATTCAACAAAAGCATCGGTGAACGTTCTCGATGAATACTTACGTCGTTGTCGGTGGACGAGGTCGCATTCGGCGACGTTAATGTGCTCGATTCCTCAGAGTTAAGGGTGTAAAAGGACGTAGAATTCTCTGACGGAACAGATCAGGGTGGGAAACAGGTTTAATAAAAGTTTCAACGGAGATACAATAGCAAGATCCTCTTCTTGATTTTATGGTAGGAGAAAAACCTACCAATGTCGTGCTGGCAAGGTGTTCGCAATTGCTGAAGAAGATCTTCAGCCCGATCGACCAACGCTTCCATCTCGCACAAGAGAGGCGCGGCGTTTGGAAATCTCTCGCGTATCATATTCCATATGTACTCCGCGTCCTCGGTGCCTTGCAACGATTTCGGCAGATCGTGTTTCTGACACGCGGAATCCCGATGTTGCGACATTCAACGGATATCTAAGCGAGAAGCCTGGCTGTTTCGAAAGAGATTACAAAAAACAATTCCATGGACAGAATTAATCGCTCGAAAGTCGAACAAGAGACGGAAGTAATTCTAAACAATTTCACATTGGCTTGCGTTTCAACTATTTTTTTTATTAAACCGTTTAGGCAGTTACCGTTACAAGTACAACTATTTTCTTTTTTACACAATTCCACGTATTTGTACGGATCGACGCAGTTAGGGACTACAAAAATATATAAGACATAAGCTTGGCATGAATTTTTATTGATAATAAGATACCTCTTACCGCTAAATTTATTACACATCACGTATCTCCTCATTGTATGTGATTGTTAGGAATATATACAAAAAGCCATTATAGGGAATTCCTCGATATACGGCGATACCTCGAAAACGTGTGTCGAGTCCGTTTAAGGTACGTATGAAGACATCTTACTTTTCTAAATGCGAGATGTGTATTCGTTTCGAATGAGAATGTGTACAATTAAAATTAGATGAGAAATAATCTGGTGAAATTGATTTCAATTCAGTGAACGATGGACAATCAATTATTTTTAAGCCAATCGTTGCATTATACAGTTAATGTTTTGTTCCTTTTTTTAAATTATGTTCCAATACATTTGCTTTTACCTCACACGCTTGGTCGTACTTTTTCATACTACGAAATTTTATTTATCATCATTTGAGTCTCATGTATAATTTCTACATGACAGACACAGAGGGCCTATGTCAGGAGTACCTCGTCCGATTGCGGGTAAACTTGTTAAAAGAAGAATAGACGTCGTAAAACAAGGCTTGAAATTGGCTTCTTGAATGTATTTGTAGTGTAGAAAAAATAAAAGGAAACTAAAGAGATGAAACTCTGTAACAAGTTCCACTCGCGTAAATTCTTTCACTCTCCTCCACTCCGTTCCGCTCTGCTAAGTCCTTTCGTTTTTTTATTCGTTCGATCGTTTCCTTTAATCAGCTTTCTGCTTGTTACTTTCAGGCGATTTGTCTCCGTTCATCGGCGAACGTGAGCGGCTGCGGCTTTTGCTATGTTTGCTGCCGGATCGGGATCTTGATCTGTCGCCCCTGGATCGTTCGCGACTAGACCTGTCTCTGTAAAAGGAGAATTTCGATTTATAACCGACTGACACTACCGATTTGCTTGTCTTGCGCTAATTATATCGATTGAACTCACTTCGAGGGAGACTTGGCTTTGGATTTGGACTGCGACCTGGACTTTGACCTCTCGGCCTTGGACCTAGAACGAGATCTGGATTTGGACTTTGACTTAGATTTCGACTTTGAGCGGTCTCTTGATCTGTAAAATTATAGTTCAAATGAAGGAGACAGAAAAATATACGATGTAAGCATACAATGAAAATTCGTTACAACTTTTCTCTCAAGTCGTGAAATGCGGTGACGACGATATTTGAACAAAAAAATAAAAAAAATAAAAAAAATAAGAAAGAATTACGGTAACGATAAATAAACGTTCTTATAGAATAGAAACGAAAATAACATGAGAGAGCAGAGAGACAATTTTCGAAAACGAGCCCAAACACAAGGCCAACGGTACAACATGGGGCGTGAGAACATGTGTATCAAGTGAATACGGTTGAATCGTTGATAAATTGCGCAAGAAACAAAGCAAATAAATAAAATGCCAAAAACAATACATTCATAATGAAATAAATAAATTGATCATGAACTGAATTCTGAATAGTATAACGGAACAGGATACTCACTTGGATTTGGAACGGGAGCGGCTACGCTCGGGGGATTTGGATTTGGACTTTGATTTGGATTTCGAATGTGCCCTGGATTTGGAACGACTGCTGCGGCGGCTACGGCTACGAGAGCTGCGGCGACTCCTAATACAAACAGAAATATTTCTTTAATGAAATTATCAATCGATTGCAATGACGATTATAAACAGACTCCGGAAACGGAAATTTTGTTCTAAAACCATTTTTTGACACTGCATTAGGAACTTCAAAATATTCTAAAAGAATGTTCGATCGCTTGTTTTTGTTAAACAATCCCTAAAATCCGCAGTCCAATTATAAACGAGAGAAAGCTTGGTTTATTGAATCAAATGCTTTTTGCCAAACATAATGAATAGTAAATGCGGCATCTAATTTTTTATGCTGTGCATGAGAAATAAATCTCGTTAAGTATATAAATCATTGTATAGAATAAAAAGAAAACAGTAAAATTATAATAATGCAGATTATGAGTCTGTGATGTGTTTCAATGGGAAATTAATAAGTATGGTTAATAAGAAAAGTAAAAAGTGATCGGAGACTGCCGTATCTCAGACGGTACCCTGACCGGGATCGAGAACAACGATTATACCTTGAGCGAGAGCGGGATCGGCGGCGGGATCTTGATCGTGATCGTGATCTTGATCTCGAGCTGGAGGATCTTGAGCGACGGCCACGTCTTTTGTCTTCGATTAATCTGATTCTGCGTCCGTTGAGTTCGGTGTCGTCCAATTTGTCGATGGCGTTCTTCAAGTCCGAGTACGTCGCGAATTCTACAACTCTGTAACATTAAAACAGTACGAAGATTAGCGACCGATCGATTATTTTGGAGTAATTTGAAGCGACAAGAAGGAAACTCACCCTTCATTCCTGCGCTGCTTGTGTGCATCTGCATACGTCACTTCTCCAGCCTGTCTCATATAATCCTTCAAATCCTGAGCACCACACAAGAAATCGAATTAATAGATTGCAATGACAACAGAAAGATCACTTACGATTAAACATTATGATATACGAGTGATATTCACGTTATGAGTTAATACTAAATTGTGTTCCTATTACTACTAAGATTAACGCATTGGTTAAAAGGCAATTTATATGTATTTCCTGTGCACTCTTTTTATATCCACTGTACTTCTCCTATGTAATAGATCCTTTCCTACTTGCAGACACGTGTGCTCGAGAGAGACTGACTCTATTTATCCTTACTGAAAAAAAGGGAAAACAATGTCCTGTCCTGTTCCGAATATCTTCAGTGTTGATTATTACATGGAAAACATGTGCTCGAATTTAGTATCTGCGATTGATGCAACCTTTCTTTTTATGCAATTCAATCTCTAAAACAAATTTTTGTAGTTCAGTCAATGGTTACCCTCCGCCCTGCAGAAAAATCTATTGCAGAATTTCAGTAGATTAATGTGTTCGAATGAAAATATTTCTGCAGAGCAGCTCACAATGAAATCACTGCAATAGATGTCGCAAATACGTTGACGATCAACGTAACAAGCGTCGGTGAAAAGAAAAGAAAAAGTTGTCTGAATTAATCTTCTTCTATTCAAGCGTACAAATTAAACAAAGCTTGCGAGGTTCGATCGGAAAATTACACAGTAGATCCGTTCAAAAGATGGGACGACTGCGTAAGGCAGAGAGAAAAGGCAAGTTGCTAATTTCAAATCGACAATGAAGAATAAAGAGTAACATAGTGATTGGTAAATTGACACGTGACGAAAAAAATTTGTCCGTCTGGAAAATCTTGCTTTGCGATGAACGTTGTTATTTCTAGATTGACAGAAAAGTAAATCAATGCAGTATACACCGTTCTAGCCAAGAAAAATTAAGATTCCTCTGCGGAGACCGAACCAATGGTCGATAAACAAAAACTTAATTACAGAATTTTGTAATCGTTGATGTCTTGCTTCTCGTGACAAGCTGAATAAGGCTGGAAGAAGAATGATTTTCTCCTCGCTGTTCTCGCACAGTGTTGAGGAGAGGATCTGATAGGTTCGAGGCTCCTCTTGATGTTGATCTTCATTTCCTCTGAGCACGTCGTGGTTGTACGTCTTCCTAAAAATCTTTAGTATCCATCTCTCTGTCTGTCTGTGTGCGTTTGGCGTGTATCCTTTCGTTCATCGGCGGAACTTGTACTTGTGGGAACCAGGTACGGCTTTATGTTGTGGACTCTGTGTTGCGAGGTGCTTGCGCGCGTCTTGTTATTCTCTATTTTTCTCTGTGTCTGTCTCTCTTTTTCTTTCTCTCTTCGTGTCGTTTCATCTTGATGTCTCTTCGAGGTCTCAATCCATGACACCAATTTATCGTTCTCGATATCGGAGATTGTATATCCAGAACATGAGAAATGTTGCTTCGACAGCAGCTTGATCGATCCAACTGGAAAACTCGTTAGGGGGTTACCTTGGTATACTCTCACTGGACACCAGAAAAGAATAGAAACAGAACATAACACGATGGAATTGTCTTGCATAAAGAAAAGTTGTTCTCATTTTAGCTATTCTTTCTTTTTTCCTGTTCGGCAAACATGCAAACGTGTATACGCTACTAATTAACGCGCGAATTCTCACATGCGCGGAAAAATTCTTGTTGGTCATAGAAAGAAAAACGCGACACTCGGCAACCGAGCACCAACCGAGAACAGAAATCAGATCAGGAAACTCAAGCGAACGTTGATGCCTAATTTCGAGCACAATTATTATTAACATTATTGTATTACTATACTGTCAAACTGGTTCCCTCTGGTACTGGATTTACTCGTGTGTGCACGATCTCTTCAAGTTCGTCGAATGATCTCAATAAATCTACATAAAAACACCTGACCACTATGGTGCACAGTTATGTAACATATGTATATATAAATATATAATTGAAGGAATATAGAAATACAGAGTGGGTCGCGAGGAACAGAATATCGAAGCATCTCTGTTGGAATCGTAGACAAGAAACTGCTCAAGACAAAAGTTCTACTGTCCGATGGATAATACGAATGAATTTTTCATTGGACTTTTCTTCCAAGATTATTTGAAGGTCATCGAGGTTTTCCCAACTAGCACCATGTACTTTTAACTTCGGCCCATAATAGACTTAATGTATAAATTTTTCTAAATCCATAGTGAAATAAGACATCCGCAAGTTGAAGATACATGGTACTGTTAACGACAAACAACGTTGATCTTCCAACATCCTTGGAAATAACGTCCAACAAAGAATTTGTTTACATGAACGCATGTGCCGCTATCGATCAGCACAGCTTTTGCCTTGAACATTTTCTTTGATCTTCGGTTCAGACGACGGAGATGATTTTATTATCCCGTTTCCCCGTGACTCGCCCTGTATAACAAAGATAAATGAGAACAAGGTTACCACAAATGTGTAAATTTATATATATATATAAAGATCTATATAAATATATATATATATAGAGAGAGAGAGAGAATAGATATAATGTATATATCTAAAGAGTACACTCGGTTAAGGTGACGCATTTACCTTGGGCCCAGGCACCACCTTGCTTACGGACAGAGAGAAAGGCCAGACACAACGGCGCTTGGTCGGGTCGAACGGATCTGTGTGGCGTAGTCGCGGATGGTTCGGGTTTCGGCCCGTGTATGCCCTCATGGGTGGCCGCTGCCTGACTTACTAGATGGCTAAGTTGGTGGCGGTACCAGTAGCAGTAACAGTCGGTAGTGTAGTAATAAATGTGATAGTACAGAGTTAGATTGGAAAGGAAAAGGTGTACCATCAGGATTAGAGGAGGAATAAGTCGTAGAGGTGTGAGACGATGATCGAACTTGGGGTAGAAGTTGCACTGCTGGGATGATCATGGATCAAGTTTATCTGTTATATGAGATCAGTCGGTGACGGTTGTCTTTGGATAAGGAGCGATGATTTAGGGCAAGGATAAGGAAAGTTGTAGAGAGAGAGCGTGTATACGTTGATGATTAGAGGATACTGGGGTACGGGGGCGAAGGCGAAGAGTCGATGACGATGGTAAACATAGAGTATAATCCATAGACAGGTCATAGTCATTGATGATTCGTAGAAGGCAGACGATTTTCTCTCCAGACCGATCACCGATGAAAGGATCGCAGATACGTAAGAACCTATCGGTGTCACTGGGATTGTCTCACTGGGACTGTTTCGCCACGTATCACTGCGCAAGTAGTAGTAGGCGGTAGGTGGTAGGTGTACCCAGTGTGCCACACGGCTATCTCTCTCACCCGGGACACCTCAGAAACCAACCTGGTGCCACTTGACCTCAAGGCGGGCCCATCGCGTGCATCGTCATCTTTATCATCGCACATCATCAGTCTATTGGCCCTACCGGTCGCCCCTCCTCGGCGAAGAGGACATGGCTCTTCGGAAAGAACATCAATTTTATTGTTTTTCCTCACACTGTTGGCCGAACGTAAATGAAATAATAAAATTGAGAAAAGGAACACACGTCGAGGAATCGAGATATAATCGACCGAGCGAGAATATATGTAATTCCGTATATACTTTTTTTCCGTTCAAAAGAGACAACCAATATGTATATATATATATAATAGAGAGAAAGAGAGAGAGAGAGTGAGAGAGCATCCGAAAAATACGACATAGACGATTTATGTAGAATTACTTAGACGATTAATGTATATTGATCAAGTAAGACTTGGTCCACCGTTTTTTGTCGCAGAGCGATTTTCCGCCTGCTTTAATTTGTCCTTGGCATGGATATTCGTGTTACGTGTATATATACGTGCACCAATATACATATATATGCGACACATATATATAGATAGATAAATAGATAGATAGACATTTTTATATAATTATATTTATCTATTGTATTCTGATCAAAGATTTCGAAAGATGCAGTGCGTCCTGGTATTTCCCACATATAGTTTTCCCATGCATTCCCGCGGATCAACCAACGTCAATTTTTTCAATTGTTTGCGTGTGTGTGTGTTGTCTGTCTCTTCATCGTCTCCTTTGATGCTCCGTGTCTCTTCCATTCTCGCACCTCTTCTTCCAAATCAGCTGCGCGCTCTTTCTAATCCGCTCTTTCATCGGCAGTTCTCTTCGAGGGTAAGAGTCACACTTTCGAAAATTCTCATGCCCTGGTGCTTGTTTCGTGCCTTTCATCGTTGTCTCCGTTCGTCCCTGCGTTTTCCTCCGTTTCGTGCACCTTTCTCGTCTCTCGCATTTTCTTTTCTCTACTCTTTCCTCCCCGTCGTTCTCAGATTCTCATCGATTTATTCACGTATACACATACTTTTTGGAGGGTCTTATTCGGGCGGGCGTGCGTTCAAGATAAAAAATTTCGAATATTGCCACAGACTTACTTGATCAAAATGTACATCTTTCTTTTTTTTTTGTCATTAGCATTCGGAATAGAAGAGAGAGTTTGGATGAGTGAACGAACTTAAAATGACGAAAGAAAAATCGAATAAAAAACATTACGATACTTAAATGCCGCGTTTGGTAAGTTTGGTTCGACTCGGGAATACAAAAGTGGCGAGAAAATATAAGATCACCAGCGAGAGAAAGCATCGTATATACATGTATTCATATGTACATGTATATATGTGTAATGTATATTTCTTTATCTTCTCGTGTATTCGTAACATTTCGTTTTCTTTCTTTCATTGGAACCTCGAGTAGCAATCAAACTCACGAAAAAAGTTATCGTCAGTCGATAATGGTAAAACGACGAAAAGCAAGGGTACAGATATTGCTTACCTGCCAGCTGACACGGCTGGAAAGATTTTCCACGGTAAGGCGGTACTCGGTGCGTGTGGGTGGTCCGTATCTAAAAAAGGAAAAAACATGATTATCTCTCTTGAATGATTCAAATAGAAGCAGGTTTGTCTTGGACCTGACTTTATAATGAAATATATTTTAGCGAAACTCTAATGTAAAAAAATTGCAAGAACGCAAGTAACTTTGATCTCAGAAAAATTCAATAATATATATATAAAATGGAATAGTAGAAATTAATGATATGTATATAAAGTTGATTAAGTTAAGTTATATGTATCGTTAGAGCGTAACATTGGATGTATGTACCTGGGCAATGATTGCTTGTAGCTAGATGCAGTCCTCGTGTTTCTGTTCACACTATCTCTGCAAAAAGGGATGTCATGTGAACAGAAATAACGGTTCGTTGGTTAAACCTTCAGCAAATAACTACAGATCTGCACTCATTGCTCAGGCACACAATCAATCACCTGTTCCAATCGAATCAAATCTACTCAAAATGCAGCAATAGCGTACCTGTCGTGCCGCATATCGTCTCGGCTGTAACAAACACAATACCACACATCTATTAGTCGCCAATTACATTCGTTCGTCACCTCTCTCAACTACCAGTAAATTTTATTCACAACATAATGTCTGTGGGAGGGTTATTATATAATTCTTTACTTTTCACTAGGCATTATGCTAATCTCGGCACGAAAAAAAAAATAATATGATTAGAGATATATGCATGTATGTATATATATATATATGTATATATACTTCTATTGTCTGCGTTTTTCTCGCAGCCAGCGATGCTCCGGATTCATGTTTCTATCGTTAAAAAAACAAACAGTCGACATACTCGGGAGAGCAGTCAAATCCAAGACAACCAATTCGAGAGAACTAATTAAAGGATAAAAAAAAACATCGGCGTGCGGTGCCTCGACGGATATATTTCCGTTCGTTTGCGAAAAAGGCAAAGCTTTGTATTTCACGCGCTCTCTAATCTAGAGCTAATCATTTATCCAAGGTTACGTTCTTCCCTGTAGGGGCGATATGCAAAATCATTTCACTACTTATTTCAAACATACGATTCAACTGAAAAACCAGAAAAACGAAAAAAGAAGATTAACGTGAAAGTATTTTGTGATTTAGTTCTTTGTGTGAAGTAGAAGCATGAATTTTTGTTATTATTGATTCCGTAAATATTTTGCATATCTCAAGTTGATTGCCATCAGGGGAGGAGGGGATAATGATCGCTCTGATAAAATAAAAAAAAGGATAGCGTGTCTTACGCAGATCGCCTCGAGTCCCCATAACCACCACGGGAGTCACCATAGCGCCACTGGTCACTACCCCTAGGTGTCCCCCGGGCCCTCTCTACAGTAATTCTGTAACAAGACACATTGGATATGCTTACTTGTCTCTCCAGGAGCGTGAGCGTCCGTAGCCACGGTCGCCTCGCCTCCCTGAAACACCCCGTGCTATCTCCACCGCCACTCTGAAACACACCCAACAAAACCCCGCCTAAGTCCTCGACTAATTCTTACTCTAAAGGTGCTTCCTTCCTTCCTTCCATCCTTTTTTCCTTTTCCATTCCTCTCAGCTTCATCTCGAAATCCGTTATTCTATCATCGATGATCACCATCATCATCAGCATGATCATCTCATCATCTCATCATCACAGTCCAGCAACTGAGGCGCTGTCCCCTCTCTCTATCTCTTTCTCGCTTTCTTTCTTTCACGCTTGTCTTCGCTTATACATCCCCATTTTATAATTTTGCTATAGTTGCTGTCTTCAGTTTTTTTTTTAACGCGCTTAATTCACCACCAATCTAAGAGTGTAGAACCTTCGTTTTATTGCGCACACGTGTTTCCTCATAATTGACTGGAAATCCTCTCTTAATATGACGACTTTAACGAATTAATAACGATCGCCAGAGAATTATGGGAAACGTTGGTGTCTTTCCTTTCTTTTTAAATTTGCATTCAATATATTTTTCCGCTTTTTTTTTAAAGAAGCAATATACATTACGTTTAAAATGTTGAGGCATTCTTGTTTTTTTTTTGTAGAAGTATTAATACATTTATATTACGTGTATAGTCATGTTTACGATCGGGGAATTGATGGAAGTAGTTCAAAATGGCGGCAAGTCACATCGGCTATTTAAGTAAGATGCATTTTTATTCCAAAACAAATCCAATCAATAATTTGGAGGACAGACGCCGTTCATTGAATGCGTTATCAAACTTAAAGGCAATAGAAACGAAAAGAAAGTGTTTGTACATATTTGGCAATTCAAAATTATACAGAAGCAACAGCAGATAATATTACTGGTACAAGATAAAATGTTCGAACGGAATTAGAATATTTTTGAATGTTTTTTTTTTTCTATAGCAAAACGAAATTATAGAGAAAATAAGAATCTTCTGATTGGCAGATATTTTACATTACGTTATACCAGTGACTTTTACTCACACAATTACACTATTTGTAATATTATTACACAAGCAAATATGCAGTGTTTTATGTTCGTTTCATCTGCTTCTTTTGTATTTTGGTAAAATTCTATGACGCCATTAATTACGAATATACAAACATATTTGGGGAACGTTTAGAACGAAAGCACTTCACTTAAAGAGTTAACCAAGAGAATTGAAAAAATTTGTTGTCAATGCTATTGCTTCTCATAAACAATTCTACTTATTCGTGCAACATTAACAACTATAAACAACTTCAAAATTTAGAAAGAGCTTCTCAGAATTTGCCATATAGTCGTAATTTTTATTTCTATCAATCACACGATTGCTAATGTTGCACTTTAAATATTCGGAAATTTATTTAGATGAACTTTAATAATTACATATTGTTTTAAGTATCCTAGAAAAAGGCACAGTTATGAACTACAAATTTAAATGGTACTTCTTCGTCTGGTACCAATAATATTATGAAATGAATTTAAAAGTGGACTAATGGTCCACAAATTAGATATGTATTGTGAAAAGATACTAATCATGCAAAACATGCTACCTACACCATTCTCCTAACATATGCTTCTTTTTATCTGTATATTTGTGAAACGTACGTATCAATAAAATAGTACGCATTACCTTTCTCCTAACAGCTCCTTCCCATTGAGCTCATAGACGGCATCGTCTGCATCCCTATAGTCATCGAACTCCTGTGAACAGAACAATTTTATTATAAATCAGAGTAGTGAAAGAGACAATTTTCAGCTTTCACATGCAGCAGAATCTTATATTAACCGTATGATGCAAAATTTTTTACTAACAGTTACAGAGCATACCTAACGTAATATGTTATACAACAATGTATGTAGAAAAGTAATTTGACTAACAATTTGAAGAATTTCAACTGTGTACAACGAAAGAGGCTTTTAGTCAGATAAAATTCCATTGCATTAGTTTTATTTTTGATAAACATTGAAAATATATTTGTAAATGATACTGTCTCTTTTTACCATTATAATTGACTTTTTTTTTTACCTCAGAAGTACTAAGCAATCAAGTGTTGGTTACTTGGAACACAATCTTCTTTTGATTAAGTATAACTTACAAACATTTTGTAGATTAATCGATGAAAATCAGCACACATCTCCATTATGCAGCCACAGTACCAATGTGTTCAGGGCTCAAGGTAGGTCAGATCAACTCTCGAGTTTGAGTTATTTTCAAAATGGAACACTTTACACTCTACACGCTTTGGTCAACAATTAATACTTCGACAAATGTTATTCAGTAACTTGATTTTTTTTTTTTTGGAAATTCAACATTGAAAACATCAGAATACTCATTGTGAATAACATAGGACCAAATGACCAAATGGAGTGTAGCAAAGTGTTAGGGGTGTATGTAGAATTTTGTACAGTACTTACAACAAAGCCGTAACCATTCTTGATGAGGACATCACGGAATCGACCGTAGCCTCTGAAAAATCTCTCAAGGTCTCTTTCCCTGGTGCCGTATGGAAGCCCACCGACATAGACCCTTGTCCCTACCATACTGTAAAAAAACAATTGAACAACATTAGACTTACCACAAAGGCAAATCCATTCTTCATAGCGACCTCCTTGATTCTACCATATTTCCGGAAGAACTTCTCAAGGTCGCGCTCTCTCACCCGGTATGTTAATCCACCAACGAATACTCGGGTGCTCATTCTTAAAGGAAAATATAAAAACACCATACATAACAGGCTTCCTTAAGAACCTGCCATTTTTAGTCACATGACAACATAAGAACTGTTACGTTAAATTTCCGGTCATTCTGGCTGAGGATTGCAATGCAGCTTGTAAAACTGACATTAGCATTATTATTTTAAGTTATTCTCATATAGACTTCAATCGACAAAACAAACATCAAGGACTCGAGGTTCTGATATTGAAAGAGATGGCTCTTTATATTATAGTTTGTACTATGTATAGTCACAAGTGCAATAAAGAGGTGCCCTTAAGAAAAGAAACTACAAGGCTGTCGCTAAACCAAGTGATACACGTTTCTTTGTCATACAACCTTCATTGATTATCGCATACAACACATTTAAATAGCAGGACCTTAAAAAACAATACAGGAACGATACACAAGCATGAATTTAACTATCTTGCAATGATTTTAATACCAAGGAGAAAGGACTAGTCACATGCTGTTTATTATAACAACAAAAATAAATGGAAAATGTATAAATCAAATTATGCATTTTAGGCTGTTTAGTGTTAATCAATACATACGCACATCAGTGAAAGCATTACAAAATTTTACTTCACAACGAATGTTCTCTAAACAATGTATGTAAAGAACAATAAATCTTAGTTTTACAGTGAAAAATTTGATAAAATTACCGAATGAAAATTTTGTTACACTTTGCTTTCTTTCCGGAGCTTGATAAAAAAAGAACATAATTCAGTGCAAAATATTTTGATTTAATATTAAGCACATCTCATGCACTTGTAACAAAAAGAATGTTGTCTATATACATTTTCAAATAAAAAAAAAATGTGTATCAACATTCGGTGCATTAGTCAGGCATGAATCACTATAGCATATGCTTTTAAGTGTTTACATATTCATGCTTGCTCAGCCAAAAACGTGTACAGTTAAAAGTGAGAATGTTAAACATCATCCGTATTCGGTACACTAAACAAAATTTAACCATACAGAGACCAAATTTCGTTTCGATATTTGAAACTTTCCCGCTCTTTCGTATAACCAATACTATTTCTATCAACTGTGCATTTAAATGTATCTCCCATAGTACCGAATTCGTTTGATGTAACATTCAAATGTGAGAGAAGCAAACTCAAAAACAATTTTGGTAAATGAGATTTCACATGTTGATTTTTTGTCTTAAAATATGTAAACGCAACATCAATCTTAAGGTGTAAAATATTGGCTACCCATTTGTGGTTCCATTTAACCTGTTAGCCCTTGCTCGCATAAACACCATTAAAAAGGAATGAGTTATTTTATACTACACGTTTTCGACAAATAAATATGAATGACGAATTGGTTTTCGTCGGTTAACAGGTTAAAGTCCACGTCAAACAATGTACCGTTAAGAGGATCGATTACTCTAGTCTTATTTGTACACACATTTAAAGGTTAAATACGTATGCTACGATGTTTTCTAACAAACTTGATGCTCATGAATCGTAACCGATGGATATTATTTACATTAAGCGGACGAAAAAGCGCTATCTAAAAAATGTAGTACCATCCACGCGAACGAAAACGCGTACAGTTTTTATTGGGTACTCGTTTCATAAAATGGCGGCCGTCTGATTGCCCGAAGCAATCTTCCGCAGATATGTGAGCTACTCACGGAAAAACGCCAGACAACAAAAACGAAAGATAAGAACGTGATATCAAAGATTAGATGGACTTGATTCGATTCAGAGAGATATCGACTGTATTTATTCTACAGTAATTTTGCCGCCATTCAAAGAGAGCGCTGGAAAATTAACGGCACACGATGTTGCATAAACAGCAGTGAAGAGTACCGATTTAAAAGATTACGAATCATTTATTAACCGTAAATGGAATTCGGAAGAACGATCACTTGCACCGCATTTCTTATGTTTGGTTAAAAAAGATTTTACGAACAAGCAGCCATGTGACGTAGAATATCGAACGTTATTGCCACGTCATTAAGTTATATACTATAGAACTTTTTGCGACTAATAAGTTTCGTTGGAACGATGGAAAGAATCGAGCAGAAGATCGAATTACTAAATAATTTCGATAATACGTTGCATTAAGAGACCGCTAACAGACGCCGCGAACCGTCGTAGCAATTCCTTATCCGTAAAACGAGATATTCACAAATAATTATCATCCGGCGAATGGACACGGTATTAGAGAATGAGGAGCGTGTTTATAAACTTACCTGAATACACGTGAAACAGCGTTGTCTCGACCACTAAAATCTTATGCTGTTGCACGACACGTTAGCACTGAAATTACTAGAAGAAGTAATGATCGGCGTCTGAAGTAAGATGGCTCGCCGCAGTAACGGAAACAAAACGGGGTTCACACTACTGAAGACAAAGTTGATGCCACGCGCAGTCTCGACGGCAGACGCCCGAAGCAAAATATTTGCAATAGTTTAACGAGAAATAAAATAATTATGCTGAAATAAATAAAACCAGAAATTACGAAATACATATTATTTTTATCAAACATATAATATATTCAGTAACAATCTATAATCGTTCTATTACTTATCGTTACCGAATGATTATGTTGCGATTAAATTGCACATTAAGGATGTTTCAAGTAGTAAACTTTACGAATGTTTATTCCTTAATTAATTTAAGGGTCTTGTCATTTTCTTGCAATTGTTAATCTTTCTTACTGTACCGGCAAATAGTTGTAAAATATTTATTTAGATACAACTTGGGTTCGAGAGAAATTTACGCAGTAGCGGTTAGCGGGAAATTTAATTAAAATGAAATGGCATTCGTTGTTATTAGCATTTTTCGTATTGTTGTTGTAGTAAATTCTATTACGTAAACGTTCAAAGGATTTTTCTTCTAAGCACGGTCAAAATAAATTGATATCCGAATGAATATCTATTTGGTATTGTATGAAATTTATTTCTAATTAATCTCTTGAAACGAAGACTTGTATTCTGTAATATTGAATGATAGCGCAGAAACAATCTTGTGACAAAGACAATAAACAAGGCTCAAGACGATTAAATGAACAGATTCGAGAAATCCTGTGTACCAAAATGTAAAAATGTGAAAATATTGTTTTTGAGAAAAATGCTTTTAAAGTTTAAAGTTAATACATATGGATGCAAGTGTACGCATATGCTTCCGGTTTTGTATTTCAGAAGTTAGCTTGCATCGAAATGTCGGACCGCCTGCATCCTATTTTTAAGACTTTAAAGTATCGTTCGAGCGAAGAAAAATGTTTTTCGAATTTCTAGAAAGTTTACAGTGCTCTAACCCTTTAACAGCAAAATTTGTTGCCCGACAATAAACGTTGGTAAAGCCATCGTTGGCTGTAAGTTGGCTAGGCTGGCGCCACCTATTGAAAACAAAAATGGTGGCCAACAATATGCCCTATCCCTGCCCTGGTTTTATGGCACGCCAAATGTCTGCGTTCTCTAGGCTTCTTTCTACTATGTATTTCCCTTCGACCGATACACCCAATTTCGATGTGAGCAAAGGGAATCGTTTTCTCGCAATCGACCCTATCTTACGTGCTAAATAAGTGGGGCTGCTTCTAACCAAACCGAAGGTGATCCAAAACTATCGAATATTTCGCGAAAATTATAACCGCACAAGCTCGATTCGTCGTGTCATTCACCTTATATAATGTAATTGGTTACACACGATTCTATTCGGCGATTACACGCCTCTAACATGTATTGCCCGTTACAGGAAACACGAAAAAACAATCTAGCACTGTGGCAATGCAGTAAGGAGGAAAATCCTGTATGCTTTACTAATTCCGAACGCAAGATAGACGTTTTCATTTCGCCAGCACGCTATGTACCAATTATGTAAAAAATTTCCTGTTGTCCGTATCACATGTACGATTGGAGTCATTTAACATATTTAATGAAATGTCAAAATAATCACAGAATCATATTAGGTTTGTACATATATATATATAGATATATACATATATACACATAGTATATTTTAGTCACAGTATTTGTTACCTTGACAACTTGCCTGTCAGTGTTATTCTTTTTTTCCAATGATTTCTTTTGCTTTATTCAGTCATCGAAGCTTGTATCTTTCAGTAGTTTTAATTATGTATTACAGATTATTTAATGCGATATAATTTAAGGAGAATGACAAAGGTCGTTTCTAGTACTAATAGGTCATGCGAGTAATGAGAATATATAGCACCTTCTGTTATCATTGTAGGTTGTTGAATTTTCTAGAGACTGGTAATGACAGATAGAGTACGCACAATGAGGTTGGAAGCAGAAATGGCTGCTCCTTTGCATCTGCAAAGATTGGAGCGCAGCCTTAATGTACAGCCCTTCTTAAGACAAATCAATGAATTATTTCAAGATCCAGCTAGGTAGTCCTTTCATCGTAAATAAAATTGACCCTTATGTGGTAGCGCTCAAGGATATTTATCATTTTCATGAATTTTTACAGCGAGGATGAGAAATCTATTTCATCAGAGTCTTCTGAAGGATCAGACAATTACCTTGATAACATGTTAATCCGAAAAGAAGGTGTGCAATCCATTTTAACACTTTGAAAATAAATTTTCGTTTTGGCAAGGAAATAATGTTTATTAATTTTTACAGAGGAGAGAATTAATAAATTAAGGCTGTATAATATGTCCAGTGTCGGAGAAGAACGTAGGTGGTTGCAAGACATTCTTTTGAGCGATTCATCAGATAGTTCAGCATCAGGATCCGATACAGATAGTCCCATCACGGAGGAAGATTTTCAAGAAATGTTAAAATTTCACATACTCAGGAAAAAGTATCAGGGCCGCTTCTATCAGAAACCAGAGGTAAAATTAAGGCTTTGGGAAGACTTCTAAAGTACACAAAAATGGTAATAATATGAATGTTTGTTTCCAGAATATACAGTATCAGTACTACAGTGCCGGTTTATTGTCAAATTATGATCGATTTTTAGAACACCAAAAGTTGATAGTTGGTAATAAAAAGAAGAAAGAAAAGAAGCCTGAGAAGAAGATCATGAAAATCAAGAAGGAAAAAGTTCCTCGACACAGACCATCCATCGATTATCCTGTACGCATATAACGAAGATATTCGAGTATCGTTTGCGGCTTAATTAATCGGTCATATCTGATTTCCAGGATGGGGAATATCCAGAGGATGAATGGGATCGTACGATGCCTAGAGAAGAAGAATTGGATGAAGCTGAATTAGAAGCAATAATGCGCCACCAACCGCGGCAACGCGGAAGAAAGAAGCATAATAACAAAAGCCCAGAAGTAATGGCGATGAGGAGGAGGAAAATCTGGGTGATGATGTCTAAGAAAGAATTGGGAAAAGTACAAAGAGCGAAAACCAATAATCATAAGGAAATGTTAATTAGTTGTAAGAAAGTAGCACAGCATTGCATGAAATATTGGCGACAAAAGGCTATGCAAGTAAGGGTTTTTGCATCGACAATTACTTGCGTGTTATTGTAGACGTTTCGGAGAACTTCAACATGTTTGTTTGACCTTTCCAGTCTCAAAAGAACATGAAGGAGACCATATGGAGAGCAAAGCGTCTTACGAGGGAGATGCAATCGTATTGGAAACGATACGACCGCGTCGAACGTGAAACCAGAAGAAGATTAGAAAAGGAAGCTGAAGAACAAAGGAAAATGGACGTCGAGCTAATCGAGGCGAAACGGCAGCAAAGGAAATTAAATTTTCTTATTACTCAAACCGAATTGTATGCTCATTTTATGTCCCGCAAATTGGGGAAAGCTTCACCGGAAGAACAGTTGAGAATTTTAAATCAATTAGACGAAGAGAAAAATCCGAGACTTGTTGGGATCGACGATTATGATAGGTAACATCGCTAAGTCAAAGTTGCTTGCATCTTGGTATTATCTTGTTCATATTTTAGCGAAATCATGAAACAAAAAGCAAAAAGGAATGCTACAGAAGCATTCGACAATGAGAAAGCTAGAGCGAAACAATTTGATACTGCGGCTGCGTCCCAAGAATTACGACTTAGCGATACTCCAGAAACTTTGGAGCACCCGCAGCCTTCGATTTTCAAAGGAAGTTTGAAAGGTTATCAATTGAAAGGAATGAACTGGTTAGCAAATTTATATGATCAGGTAGGTTCAGATGATTTGTTTTGTGTATCTAAAATATTTCTAAATCAAATGAACTGACGTTCAAATATGTTTGGTACCTTCTTAGGGAATCAGTGGAATATTGGCAGATGAGATGGGTTTGGGAAAGACCGTGCAATCTATAGCCTTTTTATGCCACGTCGCTGAAAGATACTGTAAGATATTCAGAAGTGAAATTCTTCTTTGTAGAAATCATAATAATTGATATTGACATTTTGTGATTTCGTATTGATTCGTAGCTGTGTGGGGACCGTTTTTGATCATATCTCCAGCCTCTACGTTGCACAATTGGCAACAAGAAATGGCACGATTCGTACCAATGTTCAAAGTGGTTCCATATTGGGGCAATCCCCAGGAACGTAAGATCCTGAGACAGTTCTGGGATACTAAAGATCTGCATACGAAAGAGGCTTCGTTTCATGTAGTTATTACTAGTTATCAATTAGTTATAACCGATTACAAATATTTTAACAGAATAAAATGGCAGTACATGATCCTGGACGAAGCACAGGCTATAAAAAGCACCAGCAGCATGAGATGGAAACTGTTGCTCGGATTCAGTTGTCGTAATAGATTACTTCTTAGCGGTACTCCAATTCAGAATAGTATGGCCGAGTTGTGGGCATTGTTACATTTCATAATGCCCACTTTGTTCGACTCCCATGACGAATTCAACGAATGGTTCTCCAAAGATATCGAAAGCCACGCCGAAAATAAAACTGGGATCGACGAGAAGCACTTATCGAGATTGCATATGATTTTGAAACCCTTCATGTTGCGGAGGATAAAGAAGGACGTAGAGAACGAGTTATCCGATAAGATAGAAGTGATGGTGTATTGCCCGCTTACAACGAGACAAAAATTACTTTATTCAGCATTGAAGAAGAAGATTAGGATAGAAGATTTATTACATTACACCGTGGGCGGTGGAGACACAGCAACCAACGATAAAAACTTCACGTCAAATCTTATGAATCTAGTCATGCAATTCCGGAAGGTAGGCCGCAGGTTGTGCGAAAACGTTTGACTATCGTTCCACAAGTATATAGCATGCTTTCTACCTTCTCTAAATCATCTTTTAAACATTTCAGGTTTGCAATCATCCAGAATTATTCGAGCGCAGAGATGCTAGATCTCCATTTTTCATGCATACCCAGTTTTACGAAATGCCAGCATTATTGTACATAGAGGGATTGCTGCATCTCTCGTTGCCATCCAAAGATCACTTGTTGTATAATAAGCTGTTTATATTTGCTACCGAACATTTGCATCGAACCCTTCACGATGGCAGCGAAAGTTCCCAAAATCCTTTTTCGTTTAGTAGATTCATTAACTTGTCCCCCATGGAAATGAACAAAGTGTTTATCATTGGTATTTTATTCAGGTATATACGATCTCCATCTCTATTTTCTATTCTAGTATATTGCACCGAGTATATATATATCTTAATATTTGATTTACCATGGCTGCATATAGATTATGCCTTGCCACCATGACGGAGAGGAGGGTGAAAATCGCGCGTTACTGGGAAGACTGGAACGTTGATGAGAGGATAGAAGTCCCTAGGAACCAAATGTTCCTTTTGCCAAGGAAGATGAACGACTCGTCGCAAGCATTGCAGAACTTAATTTTTACGGGAAGAATTATCGAAGGGGATCCTGTATATACGCATAGTACACACGTTATTCATTCAATGCCTGAAACCGTTGCTCATCGAATCCTGCGCAGCAGCAAGAAGCCTGCTAATCAATCCTTGAAGAGAATACTTCCGTCTGCTAAAGTGGAACAAGAAGATTCGAAGGTGACCTTGCTTCCGGAGCATCCGCACCTTCCAAGACCACCGATAATGAGACTCTGCCAACAGACTACCATTCCATCCTTTATCTGCGATACTTATCCTAAGGTTGGTAGAACACGGCGCAGCGGTAACAACGATGGTTCTATTATTGATCCGTGAATCGATTCATTTCCAGGTTCAAGCTAGTCCTCGAAAATTGTATGTTAGTAATAATGCCGCAACGTGCGCGTGGAGGAGGCACGAAGAATGCGGTGGAAAATTCGGTCAGCAACTTCTGTGGCTTGGTTGCGAGCGAGCTCTCTCAATTTCGCAAGGAGCCTCCAGTTTTCGCATAATGCAGACAACCCCGACCTTCTCCGTTGAGCCTCAAGGCGGACTATCAGCGTGTGCGCCGATCAACGGCTGGTCGAATATCATAGTACCAGGCTAGTATTATTGTTTACGCTGGTCTTTCTACATCCGTGAAAGCATCGTTGATTTATCTTGTATTCTTACAGATAAGCAAACCTTGGTGACGGATGCCGGCAAACTTTCAGTATTGGACAGTCTTCTGCGACGCCTCAAAGAACAGGGTCACCGTGTTCTCATTTATTCCCAGATGACCAAGATGATAGACTTGTTAGAGGTATCCGAAAATCGATTAACCCGAAACCAGACAATACCACGACCGGCTGATCAACCGTGTAATTGTTACAGGAGTATATGTATCACAGAAAGCATACTTTCATGAGGTTGGACGGCTCCTCGAAGATCTCCGATCGGCGAGACATGGTGGCAGATTTCCAGAAACGGTAATGCCTCTATTATCGTGCCGGTCTAGACGAAAGTCTTGGAGAGAGGTTTCACGGCGTAGTCGCCTACCAGCTGAACATTTTAATATCAGCCGATCTAAAGAAGGCCCCGTCTTTATCCGTTTAATTAGAATAGATCATTAATAAACCGAAGGAATGTTATCCCCCCGGCGCTGCTTAGAATATGTATCGGCTTCGCATCGAGTTGCACGAGTATAGCGCGTCGGCCTCTTAGCGTGTCGTTCCTTGGCTCGCTCGTGCATAAATAACACGCGAATTAATTGGCGGATCGTCCCTGTCTCGTAGGCAGCTGCGCCTTCGGCTATCCGCCTCGAGCAACGCGATTCTAATAACGGGCGATCCTTGTTTTCTTTTTCGCTGGCTTATTCGCCGAATCTCTAAAAACCGTTGAACTACTACTACACGAATTAGGGTACGAATTGGGGGGTAAGGGGGACGCGGAGTTGCTAAGCAAACGGCGAAACTGCCGCACCGGTCGGTTGGAAAACCTCCAAGTGCGGGCCACCGAAGCATTCCGAATTAATTTCCATAGGAAAGACACCGGGTCGTTCAATCTGCAGGGATTGTTTCATGTTTCAGGGCGGACATATTCGTCTTTTTGCTGAGCACACGCGCCGGGGGCCTGGGAATAAACCTCACCGCCGCAGACACGGTCAGTAATCTTATCCTTACTTTATCAACCGTACCTTGTACGTATTCGCCCAGGACTTTGCGAGCCAGGTTGTCAGGCTTGTCTGCCTATGATATTCGGGGCAATCGTAATTCGGCCGGGGGGCCGGGAACGAGGGGAGGCGATATCGGGGAGCAGAAGGATAGCGTGTGGGGAGATCACGATCCTGTCTGGCCAGGAGACAACGTTTAATCACGAAAGTGTCGTTCGACGTTCGGTCCCGGTGTCATCGATTTAACAAGTCTGGAACCTTCGCCCGTGATCGAGTCCTATGCAGACGACGGTGGCATTCCGCCGAAATATTTCAGCCAGACAGATTTCTTCACGTTAGCCCTTGGATTTCGAAGGCTGGTCGCCGGCGATTCGTTCGTCGCACCGGAGAACTCCGATAATCCGCTTCGAACAAATTCTTGATTACGCGACGATTAAAAGTCTAATTATATTAGTAAAAGTATAATTGAATCATATAGGATATCGATTGGCAAAGGGCTCGACCATCGATTCCCGTTCGCAGCAGAACAAGGGTGCGGGTGTAACAGGAGGAGAAATCAGCGGTGTAATCGATACGATTTTTTGGCCAAGGTCGTTCGCCCTGCATTGCCGAAACTGCATTCTGTTGTGCCTTAGATCGCACCGGGGGTGGCTGCAGGTGTACGTCGCCGAACGCATTTGCATATGCCCTGGTTCGAATATCGAGTGTGGAACTCTGTCCCTGTTTAGAGCGTCACGCGATAGACATCCGAATTTGGGTCTACGATCGCGCAGATCCGAGGAAGCGATGCATCATTCGAAACGGCCCGTTGTCCAGGATATAATCAGCGAGATGATTCTTGCTTCGCAGGTGATCTTTTACGACAGCGACTGGAACCCTACAGTGGATCAGCAGGCGATGGATCGCGCCCATAGGCTGGGCCAAACCAAACAAGTCACGGTGTATCGATTGATCTGCAAGGGGACCATCGAGGAGAGAATACTGCAACGTGCTCGGGAGAAGAGCGAGGTTCGCGTCGAGGCAATAATATACGATGCTATTATTCGAGTCGATGATAACGCGAGGAACTTTTTCCAGATACAACGCATGGTGATCAGCGGTGGGAATTTCAAACCGGACACTCTGAAGCCCAAAGAGGTTGTATCCCTACTGCTGGACGACGAGGAAATCGAAGCGAAATGTAAGACACTATCTGGGCCGTTAGCTAGTCATACTACGAACGATATAATATGCAAGAATATCATCGTTAGAAAATTAGAATCCGATCGTTTCGAGATTTTCGCACGGAGGCGGTGGCCTGTTTCGTTAATCGCGTTGAAAGATTGAAATGCAAGTACAATAATGTCTCCCTTACTGACGCTCGGATTGTCCACTGAATTGGATAATTTGGGAAGAGCAGATACGATTATTCGAGTTTTATAACTATAAAAATAAACCGCGAGCCTCGAATAATCGTGTCTCCTCTTCCCAAATCGTCCATTTTTGTGGTCAATCCGGGCGTCAATTAAAGAGACATTACTGTACACAGGAGCTGCGCCAGGGTCTCGTATTTTTTTTGTTCGGCGAAGCGCGATTTCGGTTGCACTCTCGCGTTGAAACGCAGGAGGAGGGAACTCGTGGGTCTGTGCGCGCGCGCTCGCCTGTGGATGCAATTACATTATGCTCGTTAGGTTATGCTAATGCCCTAATAACGAATAATAAGAAGACGAGAAGCAACGAACGTCCCCGAGTACAGGCCCGTGTTCGTATATTTCAGATAGCCAACGGAGCGAGGAAAGAAAGCAGCACGCGGAGGATGTTCGGCTCGAGTCGAGCCTACACCACAAGGAGAGGGACCGGAAAAGGAAGTTGACCGCGCTTCCGGTCAAGGTGAGCCTGGCGCCCTTAAAGCCGCTATCGGTCCCAATACTTTCCTTCTGCCTCCTTCCTTCTTCCTCTCGTCAACGCAACACGACCAAAGGCGCCTTTCTCTCCCGTCCTTCTCCGCTTTGCGCTCTCGGTTTTGATTTATATAGGGCGACTCGCAAGAATGTACCTTGTTATAATGCATGCGCTGTTCGGTTCCAGGCCGATGCGAAGAAGCCCTGTCTGTCCGACGCGAACGGCGACAGGGTCGGGGACACCGTNAATTAGACTGAAATTATGATATGAGAGGACTCGGCATCCGTTTTCTATAAAAATATTATAGAATCTGATAATTGGACTGAAATTACGATACGAGAGGACTCGGCGATTGTTCCGAGAGAGCGAGCATCGGACGACGACGCTCCGCGACCGAGCTCGGCAACCAAATGCAACAAGTACTCGAAAGTTGCCAGTATCGCGCAGATCATCAAACAGAATAGACGTTGAAGAAACTGCTGTTGCGAGGAAACTGTTTTCGGAGGAAAGGAAATAAAGGAAGTATCGAGCGTATCCGTTGCCGCGCGAACGCTATAATACGGGCGCATATTCGGTGCACGGTGAAACTGCGATTCTACGAACCGATCGGATGACAAGTTGGGTACAGTAATGTCTCCCTTACTGACGCTCGGATTGTCCACTGAATTGGATAATTTGGGAAGAGCAGATACGATTATTCGAGTTTTATAACTATAAAAATAAACCGCGAGCCTCGAATAATCGTGTCTCCTCTTCCCAAATCGTCCATTTTTGTGGTCAATCCGGGCGTCAATTAAAGAGACATTACTGTACACAGGAGCTGCGCCAGGGTCTCGTATTTTTTTTGTTCGGCGAAGCGCGATTTCGGTTGCACTCTCGCGTTGAAACGCAGGAGGAGGGAACTCGTGGGTCTGTGCGCGCGCGCTCGCCTGTGGATGCAATTACATTATGCTCGTTAGGTTATGCTAATGCCCTAATAACGAATAATAAGAAGACGAGAAGCAACGAACGTCCCCGAGTACAGGCCCGTGTTCGTATATTTCAGATAGCCAACGGAGCGAGGAAAGAAAGCAGCACGCGGAGGATGTTCGGCTCGAGTCGAGCCTACACCACAAGGAGAGGGACCGGAAAAGGAAGTTGACCGCGCTTCCGGTCAAGGTGAGCCTGGCGCCCTTAAAGCCGCTATCGGTCCCAATACTTTCCTTCTGCCTCCTTCCTTCTTCCTCTCGTCAACGCAACACGACCAAAGGCGCCTTTCTCTCCCGTCCTTCTCCGCTTTGCGCTCTCGGTTTTGATTTATATAGGGCGACTCGCAAGAATGTACCTTGTTATAATGCATGCGCTGTTCGGTTCCAGGCCGATGCGAAGAAGCCCTGTCTGTCCGACGCGAACGGCGACAGGGTCGGGGACACCGTGCAGTCGAATTCGAACGAGGGCAACCAGACGAGCAGCACTCAGGCGCACTTCATTAACAATAATCAACAGATGCTGGAGACGACGGACGATTACAGCGTGCCCGCCAGCCCTGTCAAGTCCGAGGTGCGTGGATCGCTGTACAATGAGCCGATCCGGTAGATCCGTTGACCGGGTTAGATGATAGAATCTGTTTCATTTGTTCAGGACGAGACCAGCAACGACGGGCTGGTCGTCGACGTCGACGGCCCCGTCGGCGGTACTTCCAGCGATTCGAGGCAGTTACGGGTCAGCCAGTTCGGCGAGCCGGCCAAGGTGAGCCGTTTGGATCACCACGTCGCGTTCAGCAGTGGCTCCGGCGTCCGAATGAGGCCCACGATCCGCGGGACCAGTAAACGAGGCAGACCCCGAGGTTCCCGCAGAGGAGGACCCGTAGGGGGCAAAGGCAGGGGGCTCCTTCTGCTTCATCCATCCTCGAAGGTCGCCAGGGGCGATTCTCAGTCGCCCGCGTCCATGTCTCCCACCGGTGGCAACGCGACCACCGATCATATTCATCAGCACGGTGAGTACCGGACCGCCGATCCTCGTAGAGCCGCTTCGTTTACCAACAAGTCACGTTATTCGCGTTTTCAAGTCACGCGAAACTTTCTTCGCAAGGACGGCCGGGGGCGTGTCCCCGCGCTATAGAAATCTGCCGTGCAAAATCGAACCTTGTTCATCGATGAATATTTCAACCGGTATTGTCACGACAGCCGAGTGAACAGATTCGACCCGGTCACGGCAGAACGGCATAAATACGTAACAGTCTCGATTTCTATCGGCCTCCGTTATCGCCGCCCGCATAAATATTTAACAGATTTTGCCTAGCTCGGTTATCCGTGTATGAGGAGGGGGGATCTATTAATCAGAGTCCAACGGACGGCTCGGAAGAGGAATTCGCCTCTCCATCTGCTCGAGATTCGAAAATTCTCACTCGCAAACGGGGGCCGCAAACGCAACCGTTTGGGGGCCGAGGGGGCGCGGAGAGGATTAGTCGGGAATTTTCGCGGGGGGTCCGGAGAAAATGACTTTCCGTGACGCACCCCTCGGAATCGATACACACACACCGTTAATCCCCGCTGACTCTTTCATAGAGCCCCCGAGCCCCGCCGATCGCGCCGCCACCCTCGCAACGTTTGGCCCCGTTCTCAAGGGATCCCCGGCGTAAAGAGAAAGTACCCCTGGGCCCGTGGACCCGGGTTGCGAAATTCCCTCGCGGGTACATACGGGGAGCAAGTGCATCTGCGGGGAACAGTTGGCGACGGTTCTAAGGAGCCTAAGCGGGAAGGGCGATCTCTCCCAACCCCCTTTCAGTGACTCACTGTACCAGCTCTCGCGGTTTTCGTACCCTAAACGGAGCGCGCCCGTCTTCTGGGACGACCGGGTACTTGCTACATTCTCTCTCTCTCTCTCTTCGTTCTCTTTATGATCGAAATAATTAGGGCACTACGGCATCCCTTCGGGCCACTGGAATTCCTACTTATCGTTAATCCTTCGAACAGACTGCCCTCGAAAACGAAGTATCGATGAACCCCGGTGCGCGTCCCGTTCGATCGAACCTTGTTGGTAATTTGTGTTTCTTTTCTTTTCTTTTTCGTTTTAACCCTTTGCACTGGAAGCTATTTTCACTGTAAATATAAAAGCATTTTCCTAACTTGTAGTGTTTTTATTTGATATGGGAAAATGCATTTTATGCGTATGAAATTATTGCGACTTCGGAGTCGCACAACAGTTGCGCTCTTGACAATTTTTTAAATCTAAATTTTGTTGATATAACAATTATTTTAAAACGTGATGTAACCAATTTTTGCCAGTTTGATGCCTCAGAGTCACCACTCGAGTGTAAAGGGTTAATTTAGTCCACGCATCCCCTAACGTTCATGTTTCCAATTAAAGTCGTTAAAGTTGCTAAAGATAGCTTCACTTTTCTTCGTGATCGTTTCCTCATCGCGACACACATTATTCTACCAGCATAATTTTCCACCTTTCTTCTGCTCGTTGTCTCAGATAAGTAATTCGATTCCCACCCCTTTTCTTCGAATCATATCAATATCTTCCCGCAGTTTACTGGCTGAAAGAATCGATAAACGTGCACCGCGTTTCCGCATTCTTCGAGTAGATTTTTCAAGAAGCGTGTACCGACGTTCGAAATCGAATCGAATCGAAGATACAGTAATGTCTCCCTAACTGATGCTCAGATTGTCCACAAAAATGGACAATTTGGGAAGAGGAGATACCATTATATTACGAGCCTTGCAGCTCGTTCTTATAGTTGTTGGCAATTCGTGACTATAAAAATGAACCGCAAGGCTCGAATAATCGTCTCTCTTCTCCCTAAATTGTCCATTTCTGTGGACAACTTGGGAAGAGGAGATACCATTATTAATTTTCTTCTCTCTAAATTGTCAATTTCTGTGGACAACTTGGGAAGAGGAGATACCATTATTTGATTATAGTTGTTGGCAATTCGTGACTATAAAAATGAACCGCAAGGATCGAATAATCGTCTCTCTTCTCCCTAAATTGTCCATTTCTGTGGACAACTTGGGAAGAGGAGATACCATTATGTTACGAGCCCTGCAGCTCGTTCTTATAGTTGTTGACAATTCGTGCCTATAAAAATGAACCGCTAGGCTCAAATAATCGTCTCTCTTCTCCCTAAATTGTCCATTTCTGTGGACAACTTGGGAAGAGGAGATACCATTATGTTACGAGCCCTGCAGCTCGTTCTTATAGTTGTTGACAATTCGTGACTATAAAAATGAACCGCAAGGCTCGAATAATCGTCTCTCTTCTCTCTAAATTGTCCATTTCTGTGGACAACTTGGGAAGAGGAGATACCATTATGTTACGAGCCCTGCAGCTCGTTCTTATAGTTGTTGACAATTCGTGACTATAAAAATGAACCGCAAGGCTCGAATAATCGTCTCTCTTCTCTCTAAATTGTCCATTTCTGTGGACAACTTGGGAAGAGCAGATACCATTATATTACGAGTCCTGCAGCTCGTTCTTATAGTTGTTGGCAATTCGTGACTATAAAAATGAACCGCAAGGCTCGAATAATCGTCTCTCTTCTCCCCAAATTGTCCATTTCTGTGGACGATCTGAGCGTCAATCAGAGAGGCATTACTGTACCTCTAAGATCGCAAGGTCCTCGTCAGTGGTTATCGTCGGGGTGTCGTTCGCAAAGGCGTCGCACGATGCATCGCGTTGCATAACGCATTGTGTCGCGCGAGCTAAAAGGCGCGGCGTGTGATCGCGTACACGAGAAAATGACGGCCGCGGTTAGTGGAGGACGCGGGGCAGGAGGGAGGAGGGTGGTTCATTAAAACGAGGAGAAAAAGGAAGAGGAGGAGGAGGAGGAGAGGAAGGGAGAACCGACGAAAGCGAGTAGGCGAACCTCGCGCAACGACACGTGGACCGGGAGTTTACGCGAGCAACGTGCTGCTCGCGCGTACGATCTTCGTGTGCTACATATACGGAAAGGAGAGAAAAGGGGGTCGTTCTTCTTCCCCGCCTCGCCTCCCCTTTCTCTCTTTCTCTCTCTCTCTCTCTCTCTTTCTCCTTCTCCCTCTGTCTCCCTCTCTCACCCGGTTGTCGTCGACTGGAAGGCGAGCGGACAATAGCAGGTGCGGAGTGAAGGCGACAGCTGCGATCGATGATGCTCTTCTTAGGTTTTTGGAACTCGCTCGTCCCCCCTCCGCCCCCCTCGCCGGCTCCTTGCCACGCACTCGCCGCCACGATTCGGCTATCGCTTCGTTACCCGGCTCGCTAGAAGACTTTTGCTATCGCAGAAGTTGTTCCCTCGCCGTTGTCACCCCGCGGAACCCTTTGCTTCCCCCTCTGCCCCTGGAAGCGTCGTCCGCCTTCCTTCGACTTTCGCGGAATTCGCGGGTAAGGAAAAGAAACGCTCGGAAATCCGAAAGAAATTCCCGCACGATTCTCTCGCCGTCTTCGAAGCTCGCTTTACCGTCGCCACCCCCTCCGTCCCCCGCGTTTTCATCGCGGATTCTCATTAATTCGTCGGACCGGGAGATGAGCGCGGGAGACACGGCGCGCACGACGATGCATTTTCGCGAACAGGAGCGGCACATGTGGCGGATGCGCTCGTGAGAGGCGGTAATACGACGCCTCTGCTTCTCTCGCGTTCGCATATTTTTCGACGGTCGTGCCTCGGATTCCCTTCTGCCCCGATAGAGAAACCAAGGAGACGAGTTTTCCTTTGCCGGACGCCGAGCTTCTTCCCGCTGAATCGAACTGGCTCGGGGCTCGTTATTAGCATAATTCGCGGCGGATAACCCTGGCCCTGGGTTCCAGCGGGAGGTCTGGGTTCCTCCTCCAACGGGGGGGTTCGTTGGTTTCCGTGCCGTGCCTCGCGGTACCGCGCCGTGTCACCTCCTCCCCCCCCTTACGAGCCGATATTTTCGTGCCGCGAAACGGAAAGTAATAATTCCGTGGCGGTTCGAGAGTGGCCGGGGACCACGAGTTTCTAGTTTCCTCGGCGAGCTCGATGCCGGCCGGGCCGCGATTCTTTGCTCCGTTGAAATCCGATCGGATCGCGGGATCGCCGGCCGCGTCTCCCCCCCCTTTCCGCGAAACGGAAATCGCGAAACGGAGACCCCGGGATGATCGCGGGGGAGACCGTTTACGGCGCGTGCCTTTTCGCTCGTGGAACGATTTCCGCGGCGCATTCTGTGTCGGACAGAGCGGCGGCGTGTTCGGTGCTCGCCGCCGACCACCGTTACGAATAAGTTGGAGGCCAACTGCGGATGTTTATGCAAATAGGTCCCCCTGGGGCGGGGGAAAGGTAATTTTGCTCGGAATAGAACGATACAGAAATTTGTTTACTCTGTTAAACACGTTCGCCGGCGCTTGTTCGTGTTGAAAATAGACCGTTTCCCGTATTTTGTCTAACGCGGGGCCCGCGCGGGTTCGCCTAACGGGTTCGCGAAACGCGGCGGCGCTATTCTCTTCTGCGGCCGGAATCGAACGGAACGAGGCGGCGGCGACCGATCGCGTGTTAACGCTTAACTGCTAATAACTAATACTTGCAGATCGTTGATACGTATTTATCGCGTTACTATTGATGTAAAAGTGTTCGATGAAAAAGTCGAGGTCGATTGTTCTTACTTTGCGCATCGATAATGGCGGAGTCTGATCAAGCAGAAGAAAGCGTATTAAAAACGTTCCTTTGTTTCTACAATCTCACAATTTTTCTTACAGTTGTACAAAGTGTCCCAAAATTATGGTATTTCCGGGAAATAAGGGGTTCCCGAGGTGATTCGAAGCAACTTTTTCCTTAGCGAAAATGCGATCCGCGGCTTCGTTTACGAGTTATCGACGAAAAACAGCGACCAATGAGACGCGAGCTCTTTCTGGCGCGACGCGGCCGAGCCAACGAGCCGAACAGGGCTCCGACCGCTCGTTGACCGGCCCCTCCTCGCGCCAGTCGAGCTCTCGCCTCTCATTGGTCACTGTTTTTCGTTAATAACTCGCAAACGAAGCCGCGGATCGCATTTTCTCCAAGGAAAAACTTGTTTCAAATCATCTCAGCATTTGCCATCTCAAATACCGTAATTTTGGGACACCCTGTACATCATCGCCGCAGATGAATAAATAATCAGCCTGGTGTCTCGCGGACCTGCGATTGCAGTTGAGATCAATTCGAGTTATCGTACGAAATTAATTAAGCCGAGGGTTAATAAGAAATCTCGTCGGTACGTTCTGCCGTTTCATTCCGTCGCGGGCCCGTTCGTGGCCNGTTGAAAATAGACCGTTTCCCGTATTTTGTCTAACGCGGGGCCCGCGCGGGTTCGCCTAACGGGTTCGCGAAACGCGGCGGCGCTATTCTCTTCTGCGGCCGGAATCGAACGGAACGAGGCGGCGGCGACCGATCGCGTGTTAACGCTTAACTGCTAATAACTAATACTTGCAGATCGTTGATACGTATTTATCGCGTTACTATTGATGTAAAAGTGTTCGATGAAAAAGTCGAGGTCGATTGTTCTTACTTTGCGCATCGATAATGGCGGAGTCTGATCAAGCAGAAGAAAGCGTATTAAAAACGTTCCTTTGTTTCTACAATCTCACAATTTTTCTTACAGTTGTACAAAGTGTCCCAAAATTATGGTATTTCCGGGAAATAAGGGGTTCCCGAGGTGATTCGAAGCAACTTTTTCCTTAGCGAAAATGCGATCCGCGGCTTCGTTTACGAGTTATCGACGAAAAACAGCGACCAATGAGACGCGAGCTCTTTCTGGCGCGACGCGGCCGAGCCAACGAGCCGAACAGGGCTCCGACCGCTCGTTGACCGGCCCCTCCTCGCGCCAGTCGAGCTCTCGCCTCTCATTGGTCACTGTTTTTCGTTAATAACTCGCAAACGAAGCCGCGGATCGCATTTTCTCCAAGGAAAAACTTGTTTCAAATCATCTCAGCATTTGCCATCTCAAATACCGTAATTTTGGGACACCCTGTACATCATCGCCGCAGATGAATAAATAATCAGCCTGGTGTCTCGCGGACCTGCGATTGCAGTTGAGATCAATTCGAGTTATCGTACGAAATTAATTAAGCCGAGGGTTAATAAGAAATCTCGTCGGTACGTTCTGCCGTTTCATTCCGTCGCGGGCCCGTTCGTGGCCCGAGTTGCCGGCTTTAATCGATGCCCGATCGGATCGTTTAATATTCGAAGAACGAGCGCGTTGCTTGTTGCACCGGTCCCCTCTCCCCCTGCACTCATCAGTGCCCGAATCAAATCGAATTAGTTGGTCGTCGCGTTGTTGCGTCCATGCAAAAGGAAACTCTTCGAGATCGAAGGAAGAGAAAACAAAAATAACGACGCGAGAGGACCCACCGAATTTCTCGTAGACGTAGGGCCCGAGCAGAAACGTTGGCGAGGGTTCGTTTCGGAAATATTTTCGCAGACGCGGCGGTGCGCTCGCGGTTCCCGCGGGAATCGGCCGGTGATCGGGCCGTGATCGGGCCGGGAATCGGGCGGGAATCACGCGTGGGCGAGATCCTCGCCGGGAGATAGAGACGCCGGGCCCGCGCTGGGTCCGCACAAAGGGACGCGAGGGTCCGCAGAGAGTTTCGAGGTAGCTGGAAGGGGCGAATGGAACGCGAGGATCCGCAGAATGCCGACCGTCCGGCTGGCAATATCCTTGCCCCGTCCTATCTTCCCGCATTATCCTGCCGTATCTCAGCCGAACTCTCTTCCAGGCCTGCTCGCTGCCCCCCTCGCGTCTCCTCCTTCGACGTGTTCCACGACGCTCCGCCGGCTTAGCCGCCGCCGCCGCCGGCTGAGAAAATTATTGCATTCTAAAGCGGGGACAATGAAATAGTTTTGGAGCCGGGTCCCCCGGCCGCCGACAAATCCTCCGGCCTCCTCCTCCGGTCTCCTCCGGGCCGACGCGAATAACGAATCGCTTGATTTGTCGCCGTAATAACCGGAGACGGAAGATCGAGGGCCCTCTCGGATCCTTGGGACACCGAAAACGGTTTATTCGGTCGATCGCGTTCGAGCCGCGGCGGCCGGGGATTTACGATGCTTAATTAACTCGGAGCCCGTGGCGCGACGGTTAAGGGATGATGGAACTTTCTCGTGGAAATCGTGAGAGGAATCGTTATCGGGACGGACCGGCGAAAAGGGAAGCGGCGGAAAGAGGGAAAGAGAGAGAGAGAAAGAGAGAGAGAGAGAGAGAGAGGGGTTTGGCTCTGGCTCGGTGCTGTGGTTCTCTCTCTCTTTCTCTTTCTCTCTCGTGCGAGAGAGCGGGTTAACGATCTCCTCCGAAATCGTTGATCGCGGCCCCGGCGTTCCAGAGCCACCCTTCTTGCCATCCCACGAGTGGGGTCCGTAGTTCACCGAGTTTTTGGCGGCGATGGCAACGGCAGGCAGCGCGCCGTTCAGTTCCTTATCTGTAATTGCTCCCCAGTCTCCGACTAGTCTCGAGAAATGTCGGCGAACGGGACAACGACGAGCAATCTCTCGCGGAGGGTCCTTTTTATTTCCCCCCTCCGCGGTCTCTCATCCGCGCCTTGAGAATCTCCGCGCGGAATCCTCCTCGCTCCTTCGCCTCCTCCGTCTCAGCCCCTCGGCTCCCCTCGGCTCTCCTCGCACCCTCTCCTTCCGTGTCCCCCTTATAAATCTGCCTGGGGATCGCGCGTAGAATTTCGAAAGCGCATAACGACGTGCTTCCCAGAGGAGCGGAGCTTTTCCCACCCTTTGTTCCGCGAGTGGGGCGCGCGCTCCTGAGAGGTTCCTTCGCGAGCGTCGCTGAAGAGTGGCTCCCTGAAAGGTTCGAGAACGTGCCAAGGAATGTCGACGACTCGGAACGACGAGCACGAGAGGGGGCGAGCAAACAGCAAAAAAAAGAGAAAGAAAGAAAGAAAGGAAAGAATGAACGAGGGAGGAAGGGAGGAAGGGAGGAAGGAAGGAAGGAAGGAAGGAAGCGAGGAACGAAGAGAGCAGGGCTGGGTTCGAAGGAGACGGGTAACGTCCTCTCGTACATCCTTGCTCGGCTACTGACCTTCGACCCTGTCACTCCCTCTCCAACCCCCTCCGTCCGCGATTTTTCTCCCTCGCTATCTCATTAAATTCTTCTTTCCTCCCCGTCCCCCGTCCTCCTCGCCTCTCGCTCATCCTTGCCTCGTCCTCGCCTCGTCCTCGCCTCCCGGGCCGGCTCCTGCGCTTACGATCAGTCGAATAGATGCCGTGGCACGATCCTCGGGAGTTTGTCTTGTTCGTTCCCCGCCGCGGCGTACCGGTGAATAACCGATTAACTGGTCAGACCACTCCACGTGAAATGGAGGGCCCTCCGCCGTACCCTGCATCTGCCATTATAATCGTGAAAAGTTGCCTGCCGGAGCACGTACGCCCCGCGGGCTCCGCGGCCCTCGTTTCCCGGCGAATTTCGCCGCGAGGACGTGTCCGATCCTTCCGCGTGCCTCGACCGAGTCGCTTTCGGCGGGCCGCCGTCCCGCCGGCGACGATCGTCGAAGCGAAATCAATGATAGAATAAAAGAAACTGGTCTTACGCCGCAGGAGGTCAGGGGTCATCCGGTCCAGCGGAGGGCGACGGGCCGAGCACGGTGGGTCCGCTGGGCCCGGTCGGGTCTCTGGGCCCTGTCTCGGGCAGAGGAGGCGCGCCGACCATTCGCCGCGGGCCCGGCCGACCACGGCTCAGGCCAACCGGCCCAGGACACCAAGGATACCGTGCCCCGGGTCACCATCACGGCAGGAAAGTCCAGCGACCGCTCCCGGTGCCGCTCAGGTCCCAGCAGACGATCGCCACGGTGAACCAGCAGAAGCCGTCGGGTCAGCGATCATCGGGCTCCGGAGCTTCTTCTATGTCCTCCGCGGCAATGAACGCCGGCTCCTCGTTCCCTTCGTCCACCGGCGAGTCGAGACCGTTCGGCTTCTACACGCAACAGCAGCCGCGGGGATCCTCCTAGCTTCCGGAGGAGGAATTCCTTCGGGTGATCCTCGAGGGAGACTCTTGAACCCGGTCGAAAACGAGGACCTTGGACAGCATGCTTCTTCGGTCATCGTACGCGAGCACTCTCTTCTTCTCGGACGGCTCTCGAGGACGATTCTCAATGACGATTTCAAAGGATGAGCACCTCGAAGAGCACCTGCGAGATACGGCGCGCGGAGTCTTTTCGTGGCCGAGCTACGAACGCACCCAACTTTCCGATGGATGTTCGATTCTCGAGGGGGACCACCTGCGCCGATCGGTTCGCGGGGCCCCGTCCGTGTTCGGTGGTAGCGGAAGAACTGCGAAGGCGCCGACCCGGCACCACCGTTCAAGGACACCCCGCGGAGAACAGGCTCGCAGCCGGTAATCCCGACCGGGGATCTCCTTGTCCGCGAGCATTTTCGAGCGGGCGTCGAGCACAGCAAGCGACGACGAGCCGATGATTTTAATCGCCTGAAACGATCCCGGGAACGCGTCAGACTGTAAACTATTGTATAAAAGCGGATCCTCTGTCGATATTTATGGCCCGGTCCCGAAACAATTTCCGATCGTTCAGGCAATTTGTACAGATGCGAATCGATAGCTCGGCGTCGCCTCACCTCGTTTGGTACTTAAATCGTTGCTCGAGCACAGCTGAGACATCCAAGGATATTTCCGGCCCGAGGATCGCGAGAATTGTGGTGGACTCGAGCGAGCACAAGTGTCGTACACCGTTCGATAAAACGGCTTTTAGTTTGAATTCACCTGTAAAACTTTCAATCCGGACGACGAAGCGACGAAGCCCATTTCGGTAGATTGACGATCCACGACCGAGCGTCGAACAGACTACTTTCACGATATAGAGTTTTCTCGTTCACTTTCATCGTCTTCTACTTCTTTTATCTATCTCCCTGTATCCGTCTCTGTCAGTCTCTTTCTTACTCTCTCTCTCTCTCTCTCTTTTTCTTTCTGCGTTTATACCGCACGCTCGACGCATTGCGATTCGTCAAAGATCATCTGCGTCATCGTTTCGCAGGTAGGCTCGTTTAGACGATATTTTTTATGCGAGTTACGAAGAAACATCATGCCGACTCGATTTGTAAGAGAATGGTATTTATATTAGCAATAAACGATTCGAATGTCCACCGAGAACCTCTTGACTCTTCATTGACCGACCGTGATCTCGTTCCCTCTTTTCAACTGCGTTTGCACCTTTCGTTTTGACCTGGAAAACATTTATGTCGAACTTAGTTTATGTATTTCGAGACAACGCAGCTGTACGGTCGCTTGAAAGAAATAAAGAACGTGCAATTTTCTACAATGCGAGAAATTTGAAACAGTACAGTAATGTTTCCCTAAATGACGCTCAGATTGTGCTGAAAAATGGACAATTTGGGAAGAGGAGATACTATTATTCGAGCCTTTCGGTTTGTTTTTATTTATATATATTTTATATATATAAATAATAATAAATTATATAATATAATAATAATTAATATAATAATAATTAATATAATAATAATAAAATAATAATAAATTAAATATATTTTATATATATAAATTGTCAACAATTATAAAAACGAGCCGCAAGGCAAGGATAATCGTATCTCCTCTTCCCAAATTGTCCATTTTTCTCCACAATCTGAGCGTCAGTAAGGGAGACATTACTGTAATTTGAATTTAAATTTCGAGGTTAAATTTCGAACCTCGCTTTTCGAGTTCTCCGATTCCAGCAGATGTCGAACTGCAAGAAAAACAGACCTCCGAGACACGAAGGACATTTAGGGATCCCTGCAGAGAATCGTACGAGAAATTCGATACGACCGACGATTCGCGCGAAGCCAAAAGTCCCAGAAGTCGGTGGCGACCACCTGGTGGAGAACAAGTGGAGCGTGGTTCAGACGTTTCACCGACGCGACGCAGCACGAAGAACCGCACGGACAAACGCTGTGAAAGCAAGAGTAAACAAGCATTGAATATCTGTAATTTTAATAATTTCTCGAACCTTAGAATTACCTTGGAACCAGCACGTTTCGATATCTGCAACAGTATTTGGAAAGTAGCACCGAGAAAAATAGGCTTTTACATTGTTTCGGCGCTGCTGCTTCGCAGAGACGAATATATTATGTAATTGGGTTGTCCGGAAAGTTCATGCCGATTTTCGGAAGGTGGCGTTGGGGTAGCTGCGAACATATCGGAATCGTTAAAACCAAACGACCTGTGTACACTTTCGGACAAGTGACATTTCAACCAGGTTCACGGCGATGTTTGGTTAGGATAAATTGATTTGCGTCAGTTTTGAAGTCTGTTGACGGTGGGAGAAGATAAAGTACGTTTCAGACATTTAATTGTTATCTTACGGAGAAGATGTTTTAGCCGAAAAAACTGTGCGCAAGCGGTGACGATATTGGATGAAGACATTGATCGAAAGTAAAACCCGCGCAATGGAGAAAGGTTAGGGAACAAAACCGCATAATTAACTAAATATATAATGATAATATAAAATAATAACTAAGTATATAAAAATGTCGTCTATGAATTTTTCTGAAAAGTCGGCACGAACTTCCCGGACAGCTTAACTCTTTGCACTCGAAGCTATTTTAACTTTAGAGTATATATAAGTATATAAATATAAAATATATATATAAATAAATATAAAAAATAAATATAAATATATAAAAAAGTATATATATATAAATATAAAATCATCACTTATAGTATTTCTGTTTTATATGGCAAAATGCATTTTATGCACACGAAACTGACACTCGGGACTCACCCAATAGTTACATTTTTAACAATTTTTTCAATCTAAACTTTGTTAATATAAAAGTTATCTTAAAGCGTGATACAACAAATTTTAGCGGTGCCTTAGTGTCGCAAGTGTAAAGGGTTAATATTTCCGACGTATCATGGACACGCGAAGCGATTCGGTGTTCGCGCAAAGGTCAAGACTCTGGACAATAGCGAGCAGTTGGCGAACGAAAGGAACGAAAGTTGGTCAATGCGTGGTCCATTGAGCCGCGTGTCGACAAAGTTGTCGCTGTGTCTCTCGAGAACAATGGCGGAGTCATCGAGCACCTGTAAATATTTGCAACCGTGACCATTCATTCGATCCAGTTCAAGGTAAGTCTCGACGTTCGTCGTACTCCTTCAGAAAGTGCTCGAACAGCTGTCTATTGGACAACAGTTTTCATTAACTCGATGATAGCTTTAACCTTTTAGGCACGGCCAAATTCTGCGCGAGGCTATTTCTCTGGACGGCAGAGTCTGATATGTCTGTATATTCTGTCTGTATATTGTTAAGATACAGTTATATTGTTAAGATAAGTCTGTATATTGTAAATCAATGCGAAGACAAAGGAAGTGTGAAACAATGCATACGAAGACGATTATTTGATACAAACGATGAGCGAGTGAGCTGCAAGAGCAAGCCACTATAGTGGCGCGTCGTTCAGAGAGATAACATCCGCGGAAGTCACTATAGTGGCGCGTCGTGCCTAAAAGGTTAATCATAGACACCCAAAAACAATGAAGTATCTGTCTAATTAAAATGATCGCTTTACTGGTACAGGTATATCCGTGAACACAGGAGAACGAAGCCCGCGAGTGTGTAAGGTTTCAATGAAATAAGCGGTCCCAAGGTCTTGCACTCTCCACGTTACACGATTATTAGTACAGATTACATCTGTAGTAAGCGTACTATGGGACTCAACGTAATCGGTTCCCGCAAGGTGTTGATCGAGCAAGCGCGATCGCGTGACTTGCCCTACGATCCCGTGATTGATCCTGCGATCACGCAACTCGCCCGTTAACGAGTTCGAACGATTTGAAAAAATAGTTTGTTCGTTCGCGCAATGTCGCAGAGCGTGTCACGTGTCGTTCGACGCGTATAAACGGCTCGATTGCGCGCGATCTTAAACAAGCAAAAGCGGATTAACGACGTGCGAAGAAACTTTGTCGGGAACCCGGCAATTTCGAGCGAAACGAACGGACATTTTCGTGTCTCGGACCGTTTAACAACCGATCGGCTTTCCGTACAGCGATGTAATTATCCCCGGGGGATAAAGAACAGACCGGAGCGGGCCCAAAGCGTAGCGGAGCGGCGTCGAGAAGAAACATTTTCCCGGGCGACAACGTTTCTGCTTGGTTATTTTCTCTGCCCCGCATTCTCGGCATCGCCGCGCGGGCATTACAAGTGTCTGGTCGCGGGTTTTTGCCACCGTACGCCGAAGTGAACGGACTAAATGAAGTAAATGGATGAACGGTGAATAATGGATGAAGCGGAGTTAGCGGCGCGCGTACAGGCGATGCCCGCTTCTTGCTCGGCCCCGTCGACGTTAACTCGGCTTATTATCGACTAGTTATCAGGAAGGACAACGTTCGTCAGTGTACTCGGGATTCCGTGGCTAATTGTTAACTAGACCGGGGGTGATCATGCAAATGCCGGCGGTGATGCGTAACTTAACACCTCGAGTACCGCGTCGGTCACGTTGTAGTCTTGACTAGCTTTTTTTTTCAAAATTAGTTTGCGATATATTCAAACAAAATTGAATTTTACCAGGATGCTTGGAATGCGAAAGACGTCAAATATCGTACGTTGTGATAAATTTTGCCTCTCCGGTTTCAGTTTTATCAGTTAAATTACTTCGATTTTGCGGCGAATATTTAGAGTTGATTTTTCACGAATATTCTCGATGTTTCAACTGTTCTAATCTCGCGAGATCGTTGTTGTACAATGATAAATCTGCGCTCACTTTAAAGTCCGAAGCTTCCTCTTTTGCTACAAATGTTTCGTGGAACGCGTTCTCGCACGATATACCCAAGCGGAAAACTGGAGACACTGGTCTCCAAGATCGATAGAAATTTTGCTCGCGAACGAATCGATCATGGATTCCAAGATTAAAGTGTTCTCTTTGCAACGACCCCTCGAAACTTAGCGTACGATTTTTCTGGTCGTTTTGTAGAACCGAAGCGTGGAAACAAATCGGGTCCACGGTGAAATGTTTTAAATACAATTTTCCCGTGTCACCAGTTGCGCGCTGTAGAATAAGTTAGCGACTGGTTTCTAACGAGCCCGTTCGTAGGCTAGACACTCGCGTCTTCAGTAGAAGATCTCGAGAGAAGGCCAGCCGGTCCACTATTTCGCTAGCAATTCCGCGGAGGCCGACGACAATCGGAACAACTCCCGGGACCACGATTATTCGAGGTCGTTGTCTCGCCGAGAACCGAGCGGGATCCACCGAAATTGTTACACAATGTTCGTCCGGCGAGTTTGCAGCTTTCTACGGCTGCCCGCGCTTGTCGTGAAAACGGGCACGCGACGGCAGCAAACCTATAATTCATTTGGAACAGTTACTACTGAATTATCAGTTCCGTCTGCGGTCGTTGTGGCCCCCTTAAATCATAATAAAGTGAAACGACGCTCGGCGATCACGCTGATTCTCGGGGAACATTCGATCACCGTGATTCTTCTATCCAGGAGAGAGAGAGCCGACGTAGAATTCGACGGGTCTTTGCAGACCCTGGGCGTTTCGATCTCACCGTGATCCACGATTCGCAGTTCGTGTGTGGGCTTTTATTAACCCTTTGCACTCGAAGCTATTTTAACTGTAAACATAAAATCATTTTTCTCACTTACAGTATTTTTTATTTTATATGATAAAATGCATCTCATGCGTACGAAATTGACTCTTGGCACTCGCGCAACAGTTACACTCTTAGCAAGTTTTTAAATCTAAACTTTATTAATATAAGAATTACCTTAAAACGTGGTGTGTGTGTGTGTGTAACGAGTTTTAGCGGTGTCTCCGAGTTGCCACTCGAGTGCAAAGGGTTAAGAGAGCATCCAAACGTTTTCGAAGCACAAATACTGTAACATTATACTTCCTTGGTCGTTCCTTAGTCGTATCATGTCTGGAGTATTGTTCCGTAACAAGGTCTTTATGGTACAAGACCCGACGGTATAAATTAGAACGCGCGCAACACCAATTTCTGCGATTAGTCGCACGCAAGCTCGACTGTTCTTCGTCGCCGTTTGATCATGATCACACGATGATGCAATTTCGCAATTTGTCATCTCTTGGCCATCTCGGATTCACGTATAAATCATTGTTTGCGTTTGAAACGCTGAACAACTGCTTTTCTAGTTCAGATATCTTGTCCCATTTCAACTTGAACACTCCACGGACGTAATTCAAATAGAATTATTATTGTTTAAATAGAATCACCATCGCTGTAAATAATAAAAGATCCGTGTAATTCTTCTAGAACCGGTCCATATGCAAATGGAATTCTATAATCCGCGAGGATCGTTCCCATCGTAAATTCGCTTCTGCAATCGAGCCATCGATTTCATTTCGCAATCCACCTGTTTACCTAATTCCCGGGCGACGCCGCCGCGAACAAATCCCTTCACCTACGTCACTCGGAAAAAAGCATCGGCCCAGAATGCCCCGAAGAACAAGGACTCCCGAGTTTCCATCGCGATCGGCGCGAGGAATTCCTCGTAATTCATCGGAATCAAGATTCCAGCGTGACGAAGGACACGGAGCGCGCCTGAAACTCGAGGGCGATGATCATCGACGGGAACAAGCAGCTGCTGACGGTAGCCGCGTCATCATCCGCGTGATTGCCTTCGACAAAAGCCGATCATTCTCGGGCTCGATTCGAGACAGAGCCTTCAATTCGTTACCCGATCTCTCTCTCTCTCTCTCTCTCTCTCTCTCTCTCTCTTTCTCTCTCTCCGCTCACGCTGCGGCCGCATCGGGGACGTCTATCGCGTAGCTGCTTCCTCGAAAGACAAACCCAGTTAGCTCGGACGACAATGGATCCGTTTAATTATCGGTAGCCGAAGCGTCCAAGCATCTGCAAATTCAATCAAAATATCAGAATCATGCTCGAAACGTTGCCAGACAGTCGTTTCCTTATTTCTAAAAATCCTTCGGCGATCCTTCCGACGTCCTCGTTCGCATAAAATCCGCTGTCTAACGACGATGTCAAGAGTCAGAATTTTATTTAACGTTGAAAAGAGTATGGAACAACGTTCATACTTAACACTAAACCTACCGCGGTCGAAGCGACCGCTTTCTTATTTTGCAATTCTGCGAAGTTCCGAGACTCTTTCGTGGAAAACGCTCGAATAAGTTATATTATTGGAGCAAGTTTTATAATAAAAACTTTACAAATTCTAAATAAATTCGGTCGTCTCACTTTTGTGAAGCAGTACGTGCCAGTTAGTATTACTGCTTGGTAGGTTTAGTGTTAACGGATTGCCGCTGGAAAGCGCGTCAAGGTGTCGAAGGGGTCGCGAGAGCGGGCGAGATAGCCAAAATCGGTTAACCCATTGACTGCCATGCAAATTTAGCGCGTCTTGCCCTGGGTGCCACGGTTTTATTTTAAAGAAAACATGAAGTTTATATATATATATAATTTATATATAAATTTAATATTATTTATAATATATAAATATTATATATATTATATAATATTATATTATAATTATATATATATATATATATATATTCAATAATATAATATATATAATATGTAAATATATATTTAATTATTATATTATATATATAATATAATAATATTATTATATATATATATATATATATATATATATATATATATATATTTAATAATTTATATATAAATTTAATTTAATTTATAATAAATATAATAACATTAAGTCACTGATATAATATTGCAACGGCGTTTACAGTATTTTTGTATTGCTAATCAATATGTTCCCTACGCTATATACATTTTTCATTCATCCTTTCTACTATTATAGTTCTTAACTCAAATAGCCATTTGTAGCCAATCCAAGCTCGCAGCACCCACTACGAGATATCTCGTAGCATGCGTCCGTACCGAAACCGCCGGCTACGAGATGTCTTGTAGTTGCCAGTCAATGGGGTAAAGACATCCGAGATTTCCGGGAATGTATGTTCGCGTCGAAGAGAAAGAGTCGAAGCGAGCTAAAAAAAACGAGAGCTACACAGTGGAAACAGAGGCACCGGCCGTCTGCTCGGCGTCCACGCCCTTCCGAGCGTTTCGCGAGAAACTAAAAGCTGCCGAGTGGAACTAATCGTAGCAGCTGGAGAAATAAATTGTTCCGTCGATGCGAGGGAACAGAAACGCGGCGGTAGGCGCGTTTAGGAGGCTCTATACGAATTCGCTGCCGATTTTCTTTGTTGTCCACCGTGGCTCGAATTATCGACGGCCTTCGCCGCCGCTGTCCACAGCTTTTGCCCATTGCGCTGCTCTGTTTCGCCTTTGCTCGACACTTGTTTTCGAGACGGATCGGGAGACACCGAGCAACGGAACGGGGACCAATTAGAATAACGAGCAGATGTCGATCTGCGTCCCGGCGTGTTCGATCCAGCGGATCTATATGTGTGCACGTGAAGCGGTTTCGATTTCCAAGAAATTTTGGAATTCCGCTAATGACGTGCGAACCAGCGAGCGAGTCGAGCCAGCCCGCATGCAACGTCGTCGCGAAGGTCGAGCACGGAGGACCGACGATCAATCGCGAGTAATTTACACTTACGGCGCGACGCGTGACAGAAAATAGGAAACTTGTTTCCGTAAGTGGAAACATTGTATCGAGCTGCGCCGGGTCCCTCGACGTTGGAGGCCGTTGGAGTCCTCCGATAATAATTGCCGTCGATAATTGCCGATATGCAATCTGAAGTAATTTCCTAAGCGGAGAACGAAGAGTGAAATTACACGTCTCTTACCGTTGTTTATTGCGTCGATGTCTTACCTGTTCGGCGCCGTGACTGCATGGTCGTTTTTATTCTGTGCGCGTTGCGATCGATAATTCCTTCCGACAAATAAAGAAGAGAACACGGCGCGAAAGAAACGCCAAAACAAACGCCCGTATCGTCGCTGACTAATGTGTCACTTAAACCCTCCTCCGGCGCAGCCATCACACTGAATCACAGCACGCGTTTGTCTAGCTGCGAGATCGAGTCACGAGCTCTCTAAAGCCGTCACTCTGTTGAGTTTCTACTCGTTGCAACCGATGCAGATCATTTCTATTTTGCATAACGATCACAGAGAGATACATAATAATAACATATATTTATTATGTCGGCGGGCCTTTGTTACGGTAATAATACGTTACAGTAATATTGTCGTTAACGATGATAATAGGAACATTAGGATGAATAATAGCTTGTACCTGTAACAATAATAACAATAATAATAATAATAATAATAATAACGTGATGAAAACAATAAGAACAATAAGATCAAGACTTTAAGGAGATGGCAGCGAACAATAGTTACTCCATTATGTATATAACTATTAATATAATACTATATATATAGTATTATATTATAGTATTATATAGTATAGTATTATAGTGTATTATATATAGTATATTATTATAGTATTATATATATATTAATATACTATTACTATATTATATATAGTAATATATATATATAGTATATATATTATTATAGTATTATAGTATTGTATATTATATATATAATATTATATTATATATATATATACTTTGTATATATAATATATTATATTAATAGTTACATAATGGCGCAACTATTGTTATATATATACTACAAATATAATTATTGCCACATGAGTGGCAACAACGATTGGCATTGTACAGAATACAGTAATGTCTCTCTAATTGACGCTCGGATTGTCCACGAAAATGTAGAATTTTGGAAGAGGAGATACGATCTTTCCAGCCTCGTGGCTCGTTTTTTTTATGGTTATCGATCGTCAACAACTATAAAAACGAATCGCAAGGCTCGAACAATCGTATCTCCTCTCCCCGAATTGTCCATTTCTCTGCAGAATCTGAGCGCGAATTAGGGAGACATTACTATGTATGTACAAACTGTTAAGTTTCGAATGAGATTTACGGATCGATCGTTTCGTTCA